GTCGATATTCGTGTTTAAAGGTATGCACATCCACGCTGCAAGGTCGAGGTTGTGTGCAACGAAATGTAACTAAAATACTGAAATATCGTACAACTTTATATAGGTACATAATAATATGCAATATCGTTATATCAGTAGGTTCTATATGTTTTATTGATTCTAACCTCGATTGCCGATTGTTTTTTTTTTTTTTTAATTTTCTTCGACGTCGAATAAAGTATTATAATTAAGTCGTAGTCGTCTAGCATAACGTACGCGAATTTCGACGATTTATTAAAGTGCAGGTAGGTAAGTAGGTAAGGAGGTAATAAGTAGGTACACAATTTTCTGTCAACAATACAAAAGACGAATATAAGTCATTAGTAGAGTACGGATTTTAAAGCAATAAAAAACTACAGGAAGTACTAAAAAAAAAGCAATAAAGCTGTATAAATCTTTCAAAAAAGCTTAAAAAAGCATATAAATTTCATAAAAAACGAATTATATAGTGTTACAACGAAAACTAAATTGTAATTCTGAGTAGATATTTTCCAGAACAAGAGCATATTTTTGTGTTTATTTTCGTTTCAAGATAAATTAATCTACTGCATACCATACGGTACATGAATCACATTAACTAAATTACGATAAATACACCCATAAATCAAACATAACGAGATAAAAATAATATTAACATTTCAAATATTTTTATTTAGAACACACTTTGAAATAATGTAACTTAAAAGCAAAAAAAAGTACCCAAAAAACATTGATATACATAAAACCGCAAAAAAACCAAAAAAACGCAAAATAAAATGTCGTGCATTTTATTCTAAATAATATAAATCGAATTTTTAGCCGACATAACTTCGTTTTAGAGCAATATAAAAAAAACCAAATGCTTTCAATATCCGTACTCTAGTCATTAGCATTGGTTAAATGTTGGTGTTTTACATTATCAATTTCCGAAAAATTACCCGTATAGGATTTATATGGATTAAAATAACGAACAAAATATCCAAACGCGAACCGACTGTCGTAAAAATAAAAAACAATGTCAATAGAGTTTTGTTTTACGAAAGGCAAATTTGACGCCCCTGAAATTTTGCCGTTCCAATCGCCCGCTCGTTTCGTTTGTTGTCTTGTATAGTTATTCTGAAGGCGCTTGCGCCGAATTACATACGGTCTACGGAAGCTTTAAGTGGATCCCGTTAAGCAGGACGTGTTGGGACGTAGTTCATTCGGCTCCCGTTTTACCAATAGGTGGATTCCCAAAAGGCTTCCGTTTTACAAAAAATAAAATTCCCAAACCGCTCTGATTTTTTACAACATAAATTCCTTCCCACTTCATACAGACTTGGGTTAATTAACTAGACGATAATTCATCTATCATTTTTTGTTTACACATTTTACTAGACATCTTGGATTTAAAACGTAATAAATAATTATTGTTATCAACGAACGCACACAACGGCGGCAGATACGATCGTAAACAGATTGATGTACGAAGAAACTGCACAAGCTGACACGTGCGTTAAATTGTATAGATAAAATTCGATAAAATTCGATAAACTAGATAAAGTTCGTTCAACAACAATCCATATATAGGCGTATAATGTTTGAAACGTTAAACCCAAACGGCTCCCATCTGTTGTTCATTTTTTCCCAAATGTCTCCGGTACTACGCGTTATATTTATCGTATGACGATTTTCTCGTATGTCTGTATTCAAACCGTACAAATGCGACGCAAAAAACATTCGTGTCATTTCTTGCTTTTCACGTTAACAAGTTCTATTGTTATCTATTAAAACGATTAGAGTTTGGTTTGTAAAACAGCAACCGTTCGGGAATTCGCCTTTTTGTAAAACGGGAGCCGGAATGGGCTACGTCCGTTTTATTCGTACCTTTATAACACACTTTGCACACGTCGCGTCGTCGCATCCTCCGCTCTGACCTGCGAACACGCTGTAAATGTACAGTACGCAACACGTACACACGCAACACTACATGGCAATATTTCGTGTACAATAATGCACCGAATGTTAACAATAACTGCAGTCCGGTGTGCATTGTAGAATTGTGTTCGAAACGAAATTACGTATACAGTTTTCGTTTGATGTCCGTACATCATAATAATGTGTAGGTCGGTTAATACAACGAAATATTATAACGATACATAGGTAAAATAACCGTTATTTTTGGTGCACGCGCGCGTTTTTCGACAAGCGCCACTCCGCGTGTGTACGTACATTACCCACATTTCGTCTTCGTGCCATGACGTATTGTCTACCGCCTTTGATTTGTGACGTGCGTAGCCGCACTTTGCCGACCGACAATTCATAATGTTATAGCATTTAGTTGCTAGTTGCAGGCAAACGTGTTTACGTTACCGGAACGTTGACCCCCGTTATTTGGCCCCGGGTCTATTATGTATAGAAAACAAAGAAACAAAAACGGTGTTATTCGAGTATATACCACATACGCGGTGTATAATGTACATTGTGCATAGTAACAAAGTGGTTGTTTCGTAAAATTACGGATTTTGGCATCAAAAATTAGCGATTATGTTACGAACTGTTCGATTCTCAAAACAAAACCGAACTGAAAATTGCCAGTAATCGAACCGAACTAAATACCCAATAGTTCGGTTCAAGATCCGAACAGGTGAAATTGCTTTTGACACGAAAACTGAATGAGATTTATTTTGGTTTATTTTCACAGGGGGTGTTATTTTTTGTTTTCCGCGTGACGGATGAACCATGTAATTTTTGGATTAAGTGGACCTCGAGACCAAACTTGAAAATTGGTGCTCTCTTATTAACATAGTTCGGTTCGGGTTGGCCTTAAAAATCGGAGTCTATAACACCACTATCATAAAGACAAAAATACGCAGGGTGGGTGGACCATTGTTGTAGGTGAAAAATTGGGAAGGTAGGATATAGAGGGACATTTAATTTATATATGTACCTACACAACGATAAACCATTGTTTAACGAAAGACGATTCGGAGAAAAGTTTTTCCTGTACATGGACGTACATTTTCCCATTTTTCCTAATTATTATGAAAACCGCTTAGAAAATCAAAATATGACCTGCATAAAGTAACACCCAGATAAAATTTCCTTTCGGACAATGTACTACACTTGGAAATCGGAGCAAGCTTTCTGGTAGAAAAGTTGTTCACAGATACAAAAAACGACCTAGGATAATGGAAACGGGTTCCCAGCCACTGTTGTAGGAAATTTAATGTATATCTGTAAGCAACGATAAACCATTGCTAACGAAAAACCGATTCTGAGCGGAGTTCAGTTGATAATTTTGCTTTGTCAGCAATATATATATATATATATATCATATTATGGTAAAATAATTGCATATACATTATATATTTTCTTTAATAATATTTGTTTAATAGTTTACTTATTTTCCCATTTTTACCCGTTTTTTTCATTTAGTAGGAAAACTTCTGGGAAAATCAGAAAATTACCTCCCAGTCGACGAAATTCGTTACTTTGCGGGACGGCTGTAGCTATTAAGAGTGGTCTGCGTTCAAATTGCAATCGTCCTGTGTACGCGAAAATCGCTATAATATCATGATACGTAATTTGTAATAATACTTTAACTTTATGATAATAATTATTCCATAACGCCAATAAAATCTGTGTATAGTTATTCTGTACGCAGTTTTAAATAGTAGAGTGCGTTCACCTATGACGTTTGTGCCCGGGAGAAATATGTGTACCCATGGAAAAAAAAACCGATTTCAATAAAACCGTAAAATCATTAATATTGTAACTTGGTTGATACATATATATATGTATACATAAAGGTAGGTTATATTACTTATTAGGTACTTATCTATATTGCGAGCGGTACACATTAATATAATAATTCAAGCGATAAGCGTGAAATAAACGCAAGTACATTTATACAAAAATAAAATGAAAATAAAAATACACAATAACTATCGCGACAAGGTTACGGTATCGCATCGTAAAATATGTAATATTATAATTTTATTGTAAAAGCGCGTTTCGATTATAATTGTTGCGCCGCATCTGTGAGTTTTATATATTATTATTGTAATATAATATGTCACCGTGCACGCGCAAAAGAATGACTGCGGCGAGTTGAATTAATTCAATTAAATTGCCTTCAGTTAAAGTTAAAAGTTAACAAAAAAAATCAACCAGATAAGTTAAAAGTTGAGATAGAAAATATAATAAACTTAACTCATTTAAAATAAAGTTTATTATTTTTTCAAATCACAATATTCATAAGTCATAAATTACCCTGGTATTTTGATTTATATAAACATTTATCAAAACGTTCGTGCATTGTGCAAACATAAAACATTACATTTTTAATATAATACATTGTTACCAGAAACTTATAGGCTACATCTATGCATAATTTATTATTTAAGATCAATAATTTCAGTTGAACCGCCAAATAAATAATACAACAAATTATTATACAAATATATCTACGTGTTAATTGTTGCTACAAGATGCTAGTGTACTACTTGTAAGACTGTAAGATAATAATTATAATAAGAACAACAAATAACATTAACAATAAAAACAGTTCATGATTTAAAATTATCAACTTAACACTTACAACCAGTAAATTATAACAGGGAAATATCATACTTTTGGTAGAAATAAAATAAACTTTAAAAATGTCAATGTTAAAATTATAATTATCGTTGTGTTTATTAAAATTAAAAATTAACAATTAAGATATTGGTTATGTAAAAGGTAAAAATTCTTGTCAGCCATTTCGCCCATTCTTTTATGCATCAAAATTAAATACTCGTATTTATAATTAATACGGCAATATTAATTATAATTTTATAAATATCTCGGACGACTTTTTGATCAGAATTTCAATACGAATAAGCCCGAAAAACACGCTCGTATTTATAAAATAATTATTGTACTATAATCGAATGAACTGTATGCAAACTATAAAATGAACTAATATTTGTTTTTTTCTGTCCGTTCTAGTATAATATATTATGAGCGACAAAGAGTCGTCGAGCCGGGCCGTCGAGGATACGGTTTGCGGGATTTGGATGTTCAAACCCAAATGGCTTCAGATACTCTCCAGCAAAAAGGTATACGTGCTCGTTTACGGACTCCTGGGACTCAATCAGTTTATGTTGTCGGCGTACTTTAACGGCACACTCACCACCATAGAGAAGAGGTTTCAATTCTCCAGTCAAACGAGCGGTACGACAACGTCACCGATACGCACGCGCTATGACTTACCTAATTATAGAATACAAATATATTATAATGAACAAGAGTACAATGAATTATCGTAAAATTATATAATCGGTTCAGGTATCATTTCGAGCTCTTGGGACTTTTTCGCACTCATATCGTTTTTGCTTACGTCACATTTGGCCGGCAAAGGTCACCGGACGCGATGGTTGGCCGTCGGTTCCATGCTGGTTGGTATTTCCTGTTTCATTCGGTTCCTGCCGCACGTTATCTACGGACCGGGCGAAGAGATCCTTCAATATACCGTAGAGTACGAGAGCCATGTGAATTCGACGTCGTTTTTGGGCAATATTACAAGTGAGTGGCTTATACAAGACAAAATGCGTACACATACACATTTATAATTGGAAAGAACTATTTTTTAAAGTTTTTAAACGGTTAAAATAATCAAACAATAATTACATCAATTACTCAAGGTCGAAAATGTTCGCATATTATGCTGTCCCCGTCTTAACAATGCACGACACAGAAAATTCGCGTTAAACGTTCAACTATCTATGCTGTTTGTTTTAATATTACAGCGAATTTATCAATTACTATCAAACTTGAAGATGGAAACACTATCTACGTAACTACGACGATTTTTTTCTCGCTATTTTAATATTTTAGTAAGCTACGAGTATGCGAATTACCACAATGGTGGCACAATACAAATTAATACAATATTATATTGTTTAAAAAATAAATATCGAAAAATACTAACGTAATTACACAGATAATATTGTTAACGCTTTATGTTTGATAGTATAGGTCGATTCGCCAATAGATAATATCAAAATAGAAACTAACAGCACAGAGTTATGCCTGCTGAACTCAAATTTGCGAAGACGTACGTTTATAAAACAGAGACAGCACATTTCATATAAAATATCATATTCGATATTTTACTTTGCGTCCAGCCTGTGGATCATTATGTTGCATACTCGATTGAAATATTTTCGACAAATTCCGAAAAATCCAATGAAAGGTTTTTCAAAAAGGAATTTAATTTATTCATTTCATAACTACAAATGTATGAACAATATCCGTTCGAATATTCCCAAAAACGATTCAATCGTATTGAAAATAGCTTGCGTCACAATAAACCGATGACGAACAATTCGTATTTATTTTTTCGTGATTGTATGCACCGCGAGATGTACTTCGCGCAACGATTTTATTTCAGTATCGACTACCTATCTGTAATATACGTATATACTATTTGTATACGTAATAACGAAATGTACTTAATCCTAATGTTTTCCTTTGCGTTTTAACCACTATTAAGGACAAAAAGACAAGATCTGCGACGACCAGCCGTCGTTGCCCGAGGACTGCCAAAACGAGGAGTTATGGAACATGCCGGCATTTCTGTTTAGCATCGGACACGCGTTACTCGGTCTAGGAGGCTCGCTGTACTGGACGTGCGGCGCGGCATACTTAGACGACAACGTGCGCAAAAACGCGGTCCCCGTGCTGTTGGGTGAGTAAAATACGGAATCGTACCTACTTAAATCCGTGACTCGTGTAGTATTTTTGTTGAATATACACAAATACTTCAATATATCCGTCAATGTGCGCGAACAATCGAGTAGACAATTTCCCCATTATTACGATTCACATGTAAAATTCGCTTGTAAATGAAACGCGATAATCACGTAGATAATTGAATATCCAACAACTATATATAATGTTCTTCATCGTTTTTTTCTCTTCTTCTCTTCGTCTTCAATCCAACTATTTGGAAATCGGGCTAATTGATCCGATCTACCGTCTCACATACACCGGCTGTGCTCATATCATTGTCAATCGCATCCAACCACCTCAATTTTCTACGTCTAGTTACTATAGGCGCCTTAAACTCTCAACCTCACCTATTACGTTACCGCTATAATTGTCGTTAGATGTCTTGTCTTGTTACTCCAAACTCATACTCTATTTACTCTGTTTTACTTCTATGTATCCTTAACCCGTTTCCGTCAAGTGCTCTTTCCATTGCCCGAGCCTATTTCAAACTTCTTCTATATTGTCTTCTATCAAAACTATATCATATACCATGGTATTTCCTCTTACTAGTTGTCCCCACGCACATCCGAGGTGGGACAATCCGCCCGAATCTTGTTTAGAACTCCTCATACCGTTTGGCAGAATTTTACACCAGTAGAATTTTATTATACACGAGTAAAGTTACCATGGGATTACCTTAATTCCCTCCAACAGGGAGGTTTCAATTATTATTATTTCATTGGAGTAAACACCCCCATCGGGATAAATTGATATTTTACACAAAAGGCTTAAAGCTTAAACTACTACTAAATTAACTACAAATTGGATATGTTGTTTTATAAATACTGCAATATCTAAGTAAAAGATCTACGTGAAAATTTAAATTTAAATAAACATTACATTTCCTAAAAATACGGTATTCCGGACTATTTCGGACTGATTCGATCTAGGGTAAAAAAATATTTTTTTAATTTTATACGGGCTAGGAATTCAGAACCGCCAATATTTTCTCGGTGTAATTTGGCTGTAAAGTCAAAATATTTGCGACATTAGGCCAAGGGTTTCAAGCCGTAATAATTTTAAAAAACTACTGAAGATTTCCCTTGTCAAGCAATACAATATAATCTAATAGGTTTTTATTGATGTGTCAATTTTTAACAAATGGAATGTACAACGGCTCTAAACGAACCATTCCATTGTTCGCCACTTTAAGCCATGAGTAAACATAATATTAGGATACAAGTATAATATGTATATTGTTATTTCATTGCGTATTTCTGCTGAGAGTAAAGACTTATATTTTTAATATTGTTCAGAAGGGGCGTCCAACGTTTTGTCGTATATTCTTCCAGTTAATAATAATTTATTTATAATACAATATTTTATTTTATCTACGCGCTAATATTTGACGAAAATATTCTATTTATTTATTTTTTTTTTTTTTATCAAACATTACTAATGAAATATTGTTCGCTTATCAATCGAATTTAAAAACTGCGAAACCCACAGTCGCGTAATGTATGCTGTATTCCCGTGTTTGTGAGGCGTAGAAAAGAACGACTGAAATCGTTTTACATCTCTCTCAATAAACGTACATTTTTAGAAAAAAAAGCAAAACATTTTTTTTTTTTCAAACGTGTACTAGGACTATATACATAAACGTAACTAAAGGTGAAGGCTAGGGTATGCTTAGTACCAGCAAACGTTTGTTTAACCCCCCCCTCCCAATATAACTCGATTAATACTTATGATACACTTGTACACAAGTGTTCATTTTTTTTTTCACGGTTAAATAATATTTAAAAACATTTAATAAATAAATCAATACTATTAATGTAGACATTAATAGTAACGAGTTACCTATTAGTTATTTATTTATATCCATCATAGAACGTTTTATTTGAGAACTTTGTTAATGGTTTATTACAAAATCTCATATTATTATAAAGTGATTTATATTGTTATATAATTTAGCCCCCACCAAATGTAAGATCTATGACTTTATATATCGTTAGTTATAGTTTTGATATTGCAACGATGACGTACGTATTTTAGCGATCGTCCAATGCATACGGATGACAGGACCGATGATTGGATACATGATATCGGCTTACACGCTGACCAAATTCATCGAACCTACTTTAACGCCAACCATAACCGACACGGATCCGAGATGGATCGGAGCATGGTGGATGGGTTAGTCTTTTGAATAAAATATATCACAAAACTGTATTAGAACATATTATTTATTTTATCGATAAATCAAAATTTCAAATGGAAAACTATTTTGGGTAAACAAATTATCGCGGAATAATAAATAATACGGTGATTCTAAAACCTAAAATGTTTAAGAAATTATTAGTAGATAATAAGTTTTTTTTTTTTCTATAGGTTGGGTGCCGATTGGAATCAGTTGCCTTTTGGTTGCCACAATCATGCTGCTATTTCCTAGAACGCTTCCCAGGGCCGCGGGACGCAAAAAAGAACAACTGAAAGAAAAAGACGAATACATTTTGACCGGTGAGCACAAACACACGCGTGATACGATTTCTGTATTCTCGTTCTCATACTACGATTATTTCATTGTCCAATTCCCTCTTCCTAACACGTACAATAAAAGAAAAGAAAATTCCGGCGAATAACGTTCATATTACAATAGACGCCACTTATTGAGCTCACTTTGGAACTAGTTTAAAACCATCAACCGAAAAAGTTAATGAGGGAAAAAGTCCAAGAAAAAAAATATATACATTTTTTTCAAAGTACTACGTGAATAAATATGAGCATTTTGGTCGCCAATAAGTGTTTTCAAAAATAAAAACACATAAAAAATTATTTTTCGGGAAAAATATTGGAAATTTCGAAAAATCTGTCAACTATCAAGTGATTTAAGGTACTACTTGAAAAAATCAACCCTACTTACCGGTATAATGGTCCAATTGACGAATTTTTTTCTGTATACTAGTATAAGTGTAAACCGAGACTAACCTTATGAGTTTATTAAGTGAAGGAATCAATAATTGTCCGTAATAATAATCATCATACATGATGTTACGATACATTGATGTTGATAAAACTCAGAACCGAATTCTCAGTTAAATATAAAATATAATTAAATACTATGTGCCTCAAATTCAATAAACACAAAGGAAAACAGCATCCCTACAGAAGATCCTCAACAAATTAACAATTCGCTATACGATAAAATTCATCTGCAAACAAATTTCGACCGATTATCATAGTTCCTTATAACTCATATAATGACGCATGTTCCTTTCCTGCAGATTTCAAAACGTCCATGCAACGGATATTGACGAACAAAATACTAGTGTACAACTCGATAAGCAGCTCGTTCTACATGCTGGGCGTAATCGGGTACTGGACTTTCATGCCCAAGTACATAGAGACACAATTCAGGCAAACGGCCGCCACATCAAACTTCATGTCGGGCACCATAGGAATTTTGAGTTCCGGTCTGGGCATAGTGATTTCGGGGGCGGTCATATCGAAATTCAAACCGTCACCGAGAACGCTGTCCATGGCAAATTTAGTGTTCGAAGGGATGGAAGTGTTGGGAAATTTGGCTTATGTAACCTTGGGTTGCATCCCTGACGATTTGCACGGACAATGGAACGATGACAAAACGTTAGTAAACCGATTTCGTTATCGATTGGCTTGGAAAAACTTTATAACTTAAACACTTTCATGTATTAAGATGATTAAAACCAACAATAAGTATAATATAATATTTTTCGGTTAATGTTGTAAAATCGGTTAATATCGTTATATTTATACTTTCATTGATTTTGTACTGTTCGTTTTAATAGTAGAGTATATTGGCCAATTAACGTAAACGTTAATAACATTGCTTGAATTTGTGCGTTGATTTTATTTCGACTTTTAAATTGTTAAGCTAGATTCAATAATTGATAAATTATAATATTTGTAATCGTAATTTCACATAATATTCGTAACTCGCTTGAAAAATATCGGAAAAAAACCAACGTACAAAAACAGACAATGTTTTTACCTTTATGTTTGAGTATAGGTTAATATTTTAATGATTTTACAACATTAACCGTAACGTATACACACCATGATGAAATGGATAGAAATGATCACATATAATGCATCACGTTTTCGTTTTGTATGCGCATCTCTAGTAATTCTCCTCCATACCCAGCCTAAATCGTAGTTCTCTACTACTATTGGCAATATTAATGTTAGCTAATATGAAGTCATGGAGAACTACTGGCTAGAACTGGATAGTATAGATGAAGTGAAGAAATATGTGAACAGGGTGTATGTGTCAGTAAACTTTGATTATATACCTATATATATTTTGTTATAATACCCACAACGAATTATGTATCCCATTATATTTTAATATTTGGACCGGCGTATAACAAAAGATTTTATAATTTAAATGTTCGTTGGTCGTCAGGTGGAATTTGACGATGGAATGCAACGCGGGCTGCAACTGCGAACAATCGATGAGCTACAATCCCATTTGTTCATTCGACCAGTCGACAACGTTTTACTCGCCATGTTTTGCGGGCTGTGCACAGACCATTATCAACGACGCCGTTAAAGTATGTGCCAAAATTGGTAATCGGTCAAAAAATTCGGGGTCAAAAAGTCCGTTTTGAAAAAAGTCACACAAAAAGTCCGGACTCATTTTTTTTATTGTCGGACAAAAAAACCGAGCATATTTTTAATGTCAAACAAAAAATTGTCTTCTTATTATTAATACTTTTACACACGATTTAAATAAATCTACATCTAATAAATCAATTATTTTTCAACTATATTTAATAATTAAAAAATAAAATAAATGCTTCTTTAATGGAAATTCCTACTGTTTATCATGAGTTTGTTTCAAGTATCCGGTGGAAATCTTCAAATAAAATTTCGAAAAAATGTCCGGCTACTTTAGTAACTTCCAATAGTAAGCTGAAAATTATTATTATTATTATTATTGAGTAATCAATATTTATTTTGATTATTTTCAAAACGTAACTTATTTTAAATTATTATTATTAATGTAGAATGTAAAAATGTGCTCGGACTTTTTGTCCATCAATAAAAAAACCAGTCCGGACTTTTGTCCGACTTTTTTCAAAACGGACTTTTTGTCCTTGGACGTTTCGTTCGGGATTCGCCATAATTATATCATCACGAAGGTTTTAAATTTTAAATTCTTAGCGATAATATTGAAGGTAAAATATTGGATGTACTAGTTAAACAAATAGCGTAGTCAGTGAGAAGTTTGGCTCGATTTAACTATTTCAAAGCTAGACTACCCAGAATTACTTCTTCTACTGGCTTCCATTAATTTCTTAATTGTATATAATATTTAATGTATGTATTATTCATCAATATTAGCCCAAAATATGTTCACTTATATGTTCGGCGTGCCCGCCTTGTGTATAAAGTATCGTAATATAGTATCATTAAATGCCGTGCTTTAAATTTGGGAACTTTTCCACAGAGCTACAGCAATTGTACGTGCATCGGAGGCCCAGGCACGGCGACCGAAGGAGTGTGTCCGGTCGATTGCGGTTACAACTTTATCATATTTCTCAGTCTGATGGGCATAATGCGTTTCTTGTCGTCGGCCGGTCGTTCCGGTAGCACCATAATTCAATTCAGGTATCTAAATGCATCGTATAATATTACAACACATCACATCGGCGGTAATATTAACTATAGTTTCATAAACTAAGACACGAGAGGAAAGTGCAGTCTATAACTGTGGATGGGCGCAATGGCGTAGCCAGAATTTTAAGATTAGGGGGGGGGGCAGCCTTCAATATTTACTTAAATATTAAAAACGTTTTTTAGCAACGATTCAAATGTTTTCGAGAAGCGAGAATTATATTATAGATAAAACTTATCAGTTACCAATTATTTGCTGTACCATTGATGAAAAAAAAATTTACAATTAATGTCAAATAAATAAATTACAATTTTATATTTACATACAAATTTATGGGCATAACCCTTATTTTAAAGTAAAATATACACAATAATTTTAAAATTTTAAGACATTAAAGAAAAAACAAAAGAAAACATACAGTAAAAACAAGTAATAAAGGTAAACAAAACAAAATTTTACATTTCATGGACAGACATAAGGAAGGAGGGATCCACTTTGGCACGAGACATTATTTCGGAATTAAAATGGGAACGGCTGACCTAGTATTGCACTGGCGAACCTTAAAATAAAGATGAGGATGGACAGATCCACTTTATTATTAAAAAAACCTTTCATGAAGTTTATACGCGCTAAAGGTCTACGCTCAACAAAAGATACTAAATTGATTAAATCAGATACTGGGGTATAATCATGGGGCTCACACGAGATCTACATTAAACGACAGGCGAACCACAAAAACTGTCGTTGAACCCTTTCAAGCCGCAACGAGTCACCTGCAGTATGAATTTTGCATGCAAACAGAAAGAAAAAAGGATATTTTGATAAAGAAGCAGTCCCCCTTGCTCCCCTCCCCGTGAATACGCCACTGGCTGAGCGTAATTTTGACCACGAGCCTGAGGCTGTGGATTTACATTATACATTTAATATGTATTTATGTATATGTATTTATGTATATGTATTTATGTATATGTATTTATGTATATGTATTATTATTTCCGCAGGTGTGTAAAAGAAGAGGACAAGTCATTGTCGTTGGGTTTCTCCGAAGTGATCATGGCTCTGATTGCGTTTATGCCCGGTCCGGTTTTATACGGGACGATAGTTGGTGAGTACCTACATGATTTCACGTAATAATACAACAACATATCGGCTTGTAAAGTCGTAATTGTTATGTGATACCGACGTATTTTTCAAATAAAACTTCGTTTCGGTTTTGCGCAGACGCCACATGCATTGTGTGGGGTGGAAAATGCGGTAATGACGGTAACTGTTGGTTGTACGACGGTAAGCGGATGAACTACTACTTGAATTTCACTAGCGCTGGTGAGTACAATCCTTAACGTTGAAACGCCCAGTTCGGTTGATAACGTTACGCAAACAGCGTAGAACTCACTTAATATTGGCTTTAGATTAAAAGCACCTATTACAAAATTAAAAGAGGACATTATTCCGGAGAAAAAACGATACGTTTCTTTGTTTAAATTACCTTTAAATAGATAATGTGAGGGATATTAAAATACCAGGGACGCTAATTTTTTTAAATTAGCTAGAGTACCATTAATACATTTTTCCAAATCAAGCACTGTATACCGGGTGATCCATTTTAATTGGGTACACTCATTATCTCGGAGAGTATTAATTAAAGTAATAATTTTTCGAAATTTGTTTTCTAGAACATTTAAGAAACAAGCACCTCTAAAATTGAGTAATTATGTTATTTTTTGGGATAAAACCACTTTTGATTCTCAAATGGAAACTATATTATAAATTCCATAAATCGATGAAATATTAGTTATTATTTTGAAGTTTAGGTTGGAAGAGAGTAATGGTGTATTATTAACACGCCACGCGCCGTCTCAGCACACAAATGATACTCCACTACTCTCCTCCAATCCAAACTTAAAAGTGAAATATCTCATCAACGGATCGACGGAAATCAAAAATTTCAACACTGAAATTTATTTTATCTAATACTCCATATATCCATGGAATTTTCAATATAGGTTGTCAATTAAAAATCAAAAATATTGATTATATATATATATATATATATTTGTAATAATTTTGTTTTCGCAGGTTTTCTGGTTATCGGCACGTTATTGGACATCGGCGTTTGGTATCACGTCAAAGACTTGAAAATCTACGACGACGACGAGAACGAGGGCGGAAAATCGTTACCGGTCAACGCTAACAGCAATACCGACGTGAAGACGAACGGCTCGGTGGAACTGACGAAAATATCGAACCCGTAAACCGCGGCGGTATAACTCGTACGCGTTTTTTTAATATATATATTTTTTTTTCTTATCGTCTTCCCCATTTCGACTTATGTGTCAGAAACGCAATTGGCAGTTCTTCGGCTCGCGTCGGAGACCGTACACGCGGATACCCCTTTAACCCTTCACTTCCCTCACTATATTTATCAACAGTGCACGAAATGCCAACGGCGTGTATATGTCGTATAATTTATGTAAATATTTAAAAAAAAAAAAACCCGAACAACTCGCATTTCAGTATTTCGGTGCGAACAATTCGGACGCGAACTCGACGATATAATAGGCAGTAGGCATGTAACCCATTAGACCGCAACTCTATATTTTGGTCTACCAATGTAAAAAAAAAAAACAATTTTTTTATTTGTACTTTAATATATTTGTCTATGTTAAATTTTTAAAATACAAAAATCACGATGATAAAAACAAAATCATATTCCTAATAATTCTACCTACTGTATCATATTTACATATGTTTGAACGAATCGTTCCCCCACGGTGACATTTGTCGATCCAACAAAGATTATAACGTCCCTACCAATAACAATAAAAACAAATAATTGTGTGCTCGTCAAAAATGAACAGATCCTTTATGGACGAATACGTTTATGCTTACAAATGTACATAGGTAGTACATTATAATTTACTTCGGTAACAAATTTACTTTATAATTTAGTATGTATATGAATACTGATATGAACCTGTGTTATATAGGTGAATTTACACGTGAGTACCTACGTAAATGTTTATTTTTGTATTTTGATCGTCGTAGCGCATGGTGATTTTGTTATTACGATCAGCGAAGATTTCGTGTGAAATTGACTGTGGATTATTTTATTTATTTTTTTTTATCGTTAATATAATCTTATTTACAATATTTTTAAAAATTTCCTCTAATCGTTTACACCGTAAACACGTACAAACTTAATAATACCGAAATACCGAACTATCCACCCGTCTTATCAAAATAGATTCGAAAAGTCGAGGGGATTTTTTTTTTCTTTCTAAAAATGTACGTGAAAAATATTACATTTGCTCGTTTCCTATACCTACTCTGCCGGTCTATATTTTAGACGATTTAAACTCGTAAACGGAAATCATCTCCGGACATGTTTTTATCGTATTTTAAATTATTGTAAAATATAATATGTAAACTCGTCGACGACGACGATACAATATATTACTATATCGTCTATATTAAATTAAAATAATACACCATTTAAATCGTTTAAAAGTTTTAAAAGCGATTTATTAATTTATTGTAATAACAACTGTTAAAGAATTCCATTACGATTTTTTTTCAACGCAATCAGAACGAACTTTAGTAAATCTATCAGTCCTCCTCTAAACATTCCTTGTGTTTGCGTGCATGACGGAACTTTTTGTCATTATGGAGTCGACTCGGACAGTCGGACACCATAATATTGTTATATGGTTTTCTTCACTTCCTTAAAACTTTCTCAAATCACTCTTCATAACCATGTTCTATACAAACCGTTTAGATCATTATTATTTGTCTTGAGAAAGTTCGTATTCGTATAAAGGAAAAAAACTTTTAATTTTACAACTGCAGCATTATAATATTAACTATCGAATTTGAAAACCGTTCTGAACATAATGTAGTTCTATATTCCAATGCTCAGGCATGTGTAGTGTTCAACAAGATAATATTTTAATTTGTGTTCCGAATAGTTTTAAAATTATATTTTCCTTAAAAAAAAAAAAAAAAAAAAAAAAAGGAAAGCACGAATTTTCAGTTAATTCTCACCTGCGAGTTTCAGTAAGTTGTGATAAACTTTATATACAAAATGTATTTGTTAAATATTCCTAACACTTTTCGCAAAGTAGTTAGAATATTTTGAAAATACTATTGTTTAAAGTATTTGAATATATATATATATATCTATTAATTCGATTATATATCATATATTTAATCATATATTTCTGTGTCTGATATATTATATCAAAAATATAATTGTTTTGTATGTATTCGAATATTTATATTATGAACGCTGTTAAAAAGTGTTTTACCCAAGTCTGCTAATGCTTATGTAGATTGAATGAATGGTTAAAACGTATAGTCAAAAGCGTAGATCAATATTTTATACACATAGAACATTTAAACTAATTTGAATAATACCCAATATAGGTACGAGAAGAAGCATTTCAAACGAATTAATACGCCGAGAAAATATAAAAATAGCCAATCTGAAAAAAAAATCACCTTCAACATTGAAATATGTTTCGTTTAAAATTTAAAAACACAAAAAAAAAAAAACCACTTCAAATAAAAAAAATAATTGCCTGAAGCGAAATAACATTAATTATAAACGTTTCGATATAATGTTATACAGCTATTGGAAATAGATAAGTGCTTATTAATACCTACGTAAGTACGTATACGTTTTTTAACCGGTTAGGTCGTAATTTAGTAAACAATACAGTGTGTTTCTATAATAGCTACGTTACTAAAAAATAGCGTGTATATTCTAGAGTAATGCGTTCGAAAATTAACGATAAGATAATAATATTAAATGTAGCGATGCCTATGAGATAGGCACAATGCAGAGTTTGGAAATCAGGTACGTTCATAAACACGCGTTGTAGCTGTGTTCACGTTCGTGTTTCGTGAACAACACGTGATAAACGTTTTCATTGCATACGAAATAGTGAACAAAGTTTTATGCTTATAAGTTATAACTAAGCTCCACGACATCTTATTACACGTTGGCCATTACTTATGCTTTTCGATGTACGCGATTATAAAATGGACACGATAGCGAAATAATAATCTGAATATTAACACAATAATATTGACTCGTCCGTAAAATATTAACGGACGCCCAACATCGTTACGAAATGTATGACATCGCGTTTATGTACAACATAAATTAAATTCGTTTCACGGGTCGCTTTGCCGATTTCATGAACATTGGAACACGTCGAAATTTGCAGCCAGTTGTTGATCATGAAACGATTTCTATAGACGCGTTTGTGTACCCAATAACTTGCATGATTTTTTTTTTTTTTTGATTTTTTTTATCGAAATCTTTATGAGTTTTTCGGTTAGGTTTTACCAATCATTGTGAAAACCCCTTGGAAAATCAAAAAATGACCTTTTTACTGCACTAAATATAGGCACGATTTCGTTTCAGAAAAGGTGCTACACCTGATACACCAGAAGAAGTTTTCGAAATGTAATTTATAGACAAAAAAACACGCACACATCGTAGTAAAACCAATAGATCCTTTATAGCTCAGCTGCGAATTTAAAATGACCTATTTCACCACCGATATAGGATCTATTTTACCACCTGTATACGACCTATTTTTTGTACTAACGGCATTATCAATGTCGAGTTGGGTTAGGTTACGTCACGTGCTATCTACACTACAAACGGAAATAAAAAAAAAACCGCCTATACCGATTATTCCAATTAAAGTTCTCTTGTGCGTCCGCATAAATCAATTACTACAATCATAGTCTTCGTTTCGTTATTTTTTAACCAATATTATAGTTTCGTTTTGTTTTGTTTTTTTTTTCAATATATATATATCAGCAATATACGATACGCGACACGCACGCGAGGTTTATAGATGATAATTATGGCTTATCGCATTAAAACGAAGGTTCACAAAATATTATCACGTGGATTTGTGAAACGCGTTATATTGTATTGGAACAATCGTGTTATGGACCTATTGACTACGATAGTCTGCGGGAACAATCGCAGCACGGCCGACGAATGCGCGTCGTGTATTGTACCGCAGATAGCACGCGAAATACACTGTAGAACAACAAATGAACACGCGAACAGAAAATACGATATCCGAGCCGTTTGGAGCGACGCGGGGTCGAAAATACAAAAAACGATATAATAGAATATTATCGTAGCCCCGTCGCCGGCGGGTCCCTGCAGCGGACTCGGAGATCGATCGCTGTTTAGGACGAACCCCCGCGTCCGTCGACCGGGTAAAACATGCCAATGGAAAGCCATGAGAATGTGATTTACGTTGACACGTGGCGCCGGTGTAGCGCCGACCCCCAAACATGCCCACACCGAGCCACGATATAACATGATGATGCATTTGCAGAGTGTAAAAACAATCTCGGTGTGATAATAACAACAACCGCAACGGTAATTCGCGGTGCCGATAAAACCACGCGAATGCTATACGCGCATCGCACTGCAGCCGAGTGTTCTGTTGTTTGCTTTTGGATTTCGCTGCGTTTCGGTCGGGTGTATTTATAGGCGGTGCCGGACGAGCACGTGTCGGCGGGCCACGGCGCGCGGCGGACCTTGGCGTCACCTCTGCCGAAAATCCCGACACCGCCGCGTGCAATCGGATAACCGTTTACGATTTCCGCGGCGTTCGGAGGGCGCGGATACTGATTTTCGTTTAAAAAAAAAAAAAATAAAACAACTATACAGACGGTAACCATCATAGTCACGTCGTCGTCCATGCGTATTTCCCGAGACCCGTCTTTCCCCGCCGTGACGTACACGCGAAAGAAGAAACCGTCTACCCCCGCCCCCCCCCCCCCGTATATTATCTGTTATTATTACGTTTTCAGATTCTGAGTAGAGCGAAAAATATATTGTGATACGAAGATATTTATTTTTTTTTTTTTATGCGAGCATTTTTTCTACCAGAGAGCTTACTCCGGCGTATTCGATGTAGATAGACACTTTTCTGAAAGGAAATTTTCTTGGGGTGATACTTTAGGGAGGTAATTTTTCGATTTGATCAGGAGTTTCCTCGTCGAATACGAAAAAGCGAAAAAACATAGGAAAATCGGTACAATATTACACAAATATTATTAAAGAAAATATATAATGCATATGTAATTATTTTACCATAATATATGACATATATATATATATATTGTTAATAAGGCAACACTATCAACTGGACTCCGTTCAGAATCGTTTTTTCGTATGGTTTATCGTTGCTTACAGATATACATTAAATGGCCG